GATCCCTATCTAGCATCTCTAGACTAACAAACATCTCCATCCATTAACTCACATTTTAATCACAATGGGGCTGGAGAAAAAGGGGCAAAGGTTATGCAGTCCCACACTACAAAACATCCTGCAACTGCAGTAAGTTTACTGCCAAGCAGGGTGTGGGGGCTTGGGGTGCTTTGTCCAAGCACAAGCACTTTGTTCAAGCACAGGTACAAAATGGCGCTGAGGCACAAGATGGAATTGGGTTGGCTCTCACAGAATGCCTGCTTTTTATCAGGCCCTTTCTGAGTAATACCATGTAGTGGATCTGACAGATAGAGTCCAGCCTCTTTCATACAGCAAGCAAAGAATTGCAAGCATACATCCAATAGTAAAAGAAAAGGCAGTTACATTTATTGAAGACGACAGGAAGACGTGCCGAGGGCAGATCCATGCCAGCAGAAACAAAAATGTGGCCCGAATAGAAAAGTAGTGTCGGAACAACAGGAAAATAAAAATCACACAAATATAGCAGGCTTTCAGATTTTTTTTTTTTTCTTTTTCGGTACCGGGGATCGAACTTGGGTCCTTGCACTTGCGCAGCAGGCGGCGAAACCACTGAGGCTTTCAGATTTTAAAAGATGTGTACACCACTCGGGGTGCCTCTCTCTGGGTCCCAGGCTAAAACTGACAGGAATGATTGACAAGATGCTGAATAATCTCAGGGGCTTTCAACACACATGCCTCCCCAGAATCCACTCTGATTAAATTACAAAATGAGATGCAGTGCATATGTATGAACCTGTAAAGAGGTTCAAGTGGGAGAAATGTTACTGAAGGTCTGGCCTGGAGCTCTAAAGATTCCCAGTCTTTGTTATTTTTATTTTTGCCTTTATTAGAACAGTGATGACAAACCCGTAAGAGATGAGCACCCAAACTGCAACTCAAAACCCACTTATTTATCACGCAGTGCCAACACTGCAATTAAACCTGAGTACTGAGGTTTCCATTTAGAAAAAAACAACTCATATATTAACATGTTTTGCCTTAAAAGAAAAACAACACACAGCCATTGGTTTGCCACCACTGTCTTAGAACAAAGGAAGGAGGATTGCCCCGGGGTGTTGCCCAAATTCGGGTGGGTGGAAGGGGAGGGGTCTCCCTGTGGTAGGTATGAGTACTTGGAGACTCAATAACCAACAAGACAGCCAAAGCCCCCCAAACCCAGCACACTTGCAGTCCCCAGGGGAGTCCATACGAACATGTGGACAGCTGAACACTAAGTGTGCTTGGAGAGAATAAAATGGAGATGAGGTTGGAGAAGAACGGACAGGGAGAGGGATTCCAACTGAGTGGCCGGTGTGCTCAGAAAAAGCCCTCCAAGGAGATCTTCGAGCGGCTCTGAATGCTGAGGAGGGAGCAGCTCTAGAAAGAGGTCTTTAGGTAGAAAAAAATAATTGGTACAAAAGCCTAAAGATGGGCTGGCTTGACCGACTGATTTTCTCAGGAACAGAGCAAGCTTACTGCGGAGACGTGGACTCCAGCCAGTTCTGTCTGGCTCTGGAGCCCAGGATCTTAACCACTGTGCTTCACAGGCTCTTGCCCAGGAAAAATAACACAGGGAATCCAGAGCTGATTCTCCAGAAGACAGAAGCCAAGCACAAGGTTCCACTCTCTGGGCAGATACAGTTATCAAACCAGGAATGGAGAAAAATCATTTTGAAAGCTGGATGGAAACAGGTTCCTCGAGCCCAGCCCCAACCAGGTGAAATTCCGTTCCACCAGACAGAGCCAAAGCACAACGAAGGACTGTAGCTGAAACTCCACAATATCTTCTGTACCTGCGTAGCCCACTATTTACGATCACAAGTCATTATATGTTTCGTTCACTCATTTAAATAATATTGTAAAGCATCCTCTCTCCCAGGTGGTGAACCTGGTGCGCAAGAAGCACTCTGCCCCCACGTGCAGAGAGTTGACAGTGTATTTAAGGTCCAGACCAGGCAGAATTCTACTCATCTGGAACATAATTTTGTCTCTCTAACTCAGGATAAAGGGCCACATGGCAGAATAAGCTTGCATCAAGGAAGGAATTCTTTTTTAAATTTAGCTTCTTTTTTATTTTTAAGGTCCAGGCTTTCAATACTGTCTTCTTACAGAGATACTAAAACTGATCTGAACCTCATGTTCTGGGAGTCGTCTCTTGCCAGGCAATGAGCCCCCAGGGCTTGCTTTTGCAGCAAGAAGAATCCACTTTCTGAAGATGTTACAATTTTCCTTAACATACCAAGAACAGGGCAACCAGGCTGCTGTCCCTGCATCACCAGGAAAGCGAGAACTGGGGAGGCAGCAAAAAAGAAGTGGAGTCCAGGCAATTGAGGGAGGACAGAGGGCACAGAGAGAGGCAAGGAGAGGTCTCTATCTAGGGCAGTGTCCCAGAGAGCCTGGCAGTGCCCCCAGTGCCAGGGTTGACCCCCTCACTCACAGCTCTGATCTGCCCCAGTGCCAATGCATCAGATGCCCAGAATGGACACAGGATTCAGACTGCCAGGCCCAGAAGGTCGAGAGCCTGGTTTTTCCCTGTCCCCTGCTTGAGGGTCACATGGCAGAGCTCTGCTGTTTCCATACACTCTGGAGTGAAGTGAAGGAATTGAATTAGCTGGGAGCCGACTGGGAAGTGTGTCAGAGGCAAGTGAACTTTGCATAAACTGAATATTAAACAGAAATGAGATCACAGAAGCCGTAAGAGCCTGAGATGTTGTTAATTTGTTTCTTTAAGCTTCCTTCTCACTAGTGGGAGAGGGTCAGTGGGAAGATAGTACCTGTCATAAAGAATGGAGAAGTAGTATTTTCTTCCTATCTGGGTGCAGCTTCAGCATAAGATCCAAGGGACCTGAGCCCATGGCTGTTCCGCACGACATGAGTGGCCCAGTGCCTAACCAGATGAGGCACAAACGTGGCCTTCAGTAAGCAGTGGATGAACATGTGAATAAATAAATGAACAAATGAAATCAAACTCGAATCCCCCCCACAGCTGATCCAAATAGGCATGGTAGCATCAGAAAGACAAGGGAACTTATCAAGAAGCCAGGCATCATTTGTGGCTGGCATCCTTTGGTATCCACCCAACATCCTCCTCGCCTTGGGGTGGGCAGCAATTCACCCAATTAGAACACTCGCTAGATTCCCACACAGCTAGAGGAGACCCAGCCACCCATTCTGGCGAAAGTATTCAAGGTGGGACGTTTAGGGGAAAATACTCTTTTTCTTGGTAACAATGGGCAGACTCGGGGAAATAAACACATACCTTTTTCTCTTCCTTTTCTCCATTGTTTCTACCTGAGGTGTAGAAGCAATGGCTCATAGTGATGCAGCCGTTTTACTGCAAAGGAAGAAGTAACTCCCTGAGGCCATGATCGCAAAGAGCTCAAAGGCTGATTCTTCCTTGAAGCTGTGCCTTTCACCTAAGAAGAATAAGCATGCTTCATCTACAGATGTCAAAGCATCTTCAGGCAAAATTCAGTGTTTTGTGAACTTAAGGGAAAAAAAGTTTACACCTTCCTTTTACCAAACCCTAGCTATAGGGCCGGGGATTTAGCTCAGTGGTTCTGCCGCCTGCCTCACAAGCGCAAGGACCCAAGTTCGATCCCTGGTACAAAAAAAAAAGAAACCCTAGCTGCAATCCAGTGTCCTCTCACATTATTAATGTGAAAAACAGACCAGAGGGGTAACAACAATGCTGGTGACTTTGTACAATGGTTTGCTTTCAGTTGGCAAAGCCAGCAATACAGCCTTTCTACCCTACCTCGGGGACAGGATAACTCTGGCCTCATGCCATAATTTAGTTTGCAGAAATCTCGATGGCCCTTCTCTTCTAAAGGTACCACACAGGCCGGGGATTTAGCTCAGTGGTGCTGGCGCCTGCCTCATAAGTGCAAGGTCCCAAGTTTGATCCCTGGTACCAGAAAAAAAGAAAAAGAAAATACTGCTAAAGGTACCACACTGTTCGCTTACACAGATGGCATTTCAGTCACTGGACACAGCGTGCATGTAGCAACTACTCTAGACTTATTGTTAAGGCATTTGCACATCTGCTCAAGGGAAATAACCCAAAAAATTCAGGTGCCTTCT